CATGCCCCCATCTAGGCTGAGTAATGTATCCAAAAAGTCAGTTCATGCATAGGGATAAATACTGGTTCTGCTGCTAGTGGCCCCACAAACTACCCGAACAACCCATATTGTCACCCACATTCAGAGAGCCTACTTTGGTTTTATGCAGATCCCCTAGCTGTTAGTCTGGGGTACTTGAGCTCCCACTTGCTTGGGTCAGGTGTTTCTGTGGGTTTCCCCATTGTGGTCTTGACCCCTGTCTACAACTGGACTCCAGGAGTTCACCCCAGTGATTAGTTGTGGATCTTTTAATCTGCTTCCATCATTTACAGAATGAAGATTCTATGATGATAATTAAGGTGGTCATCAATCTGATTACAGAGGAAGGGCAGTTAGGGTACCCTTTCTACTATTGCTCGGATTCTTCATTGGGGTCATCCTTGTGGTTTCCTGGGAATTTCCCTAGTGCCAGGTTTCTCACTAACCCCATAATGACTCCCTCTATCATGGTACCTCTTTCCTTGCTTTCCCTCTCTGTCCTTTCCCCACTCTATCTTCTGAATCCATCATGTTCTTCCCTGCATCCTTTTCCTTCCCCACTCCCCTACTACGCTTCTCCCTCTTCCCATGTTCCAAATTTACTCAGGAGATTCTTTTTTTTTTTTTTTTGCTTCTCTTGGGTTGAGGATTCTAGGCTGATTATCCTGTGCTTCATGTCTGGTATCCACTTATGAGTACATACCATGTTTGTCTTTCTGTGTCTGGTACGATAGTTTACATAAGTGACCTGAAAAATTCTACCAGAAACTCCTACAGCTGATAAACACCTTCAGTAATATGACAGGAAACAAAAGTAACTCAAAAAATCGGTAGCCTTCTTACATGTAGATGATAAACAGGCTGAGAAAGAAACCAGAGTAACATGACTGTTCACAAAAGCTACAAACAACATATAATATCTTGACATAACTCTAACTAAACAAGTAAAAGACCTGTATGACAAGAATTTTAAGTCTTTAAAGAAAGAAATTAAAGAAAATATCAGAAAATTGAAAGATTTTCCATGCTCTTGGATTGGTGTGATCAGCATAGTAAAAATGGCAATATTTCCAAAAGCAATCTACAGATTCAATGCAGTCCCCATTAAAATCCCAGCACAATTCTTCACAGACCTTGAAAGAATAATACCCAACTTCATATGGGAAAGCAAAAACTGAAACAATCCTGTACAATGAAGGAACTTCAGGAGGCATCACCATCCCTGACTTCAGTCTCTACTATAGAGCTATAGTAATGAAAATAGCTTGGTATTGACATAACAGCAGACAGGTAGACTAATGGAATCAAATAAAAGACCCTGATAGTAATCTGATCCCATACTTTTAATAATAGATGATTTGTTTATTGCAGAAGAGAGGACCCTTTACTTGATCCTGAAGAACATGTGTAGATTCATGAATTGTACATAACCCTCATAATTCTTTATGCATGTGATCAGCTCTTATAGTTCACCATGTGTGCTACTTGGATCCCCTGGAGCTGTAACAGGAGTTACTCATGGTTATGAACCACCATGCAGTTGCTCGAAATGGAGCAGGGTCCTCTTTAAGAGCAGCATCCTCTCTTAACCACTGAAATGTCTCCCCACCCCATGAATAATTTCAATAAAATAATTGTCCAAACCCAGTTTTTGGAGTGCTTCTGTTGGGTCCAAATTATGGACTTTGAGAACAGAAGTTGAGTAAGCCAGTCTCTGCCTTGACTCCTGTGGTGATTTTTAGTTCGGGAGCTGAATGGGCAAAAATGCACATGCTTCCTTTTAGCAGCCACCACTCTGTGGTTTTCTCTTGAGTTCCCTTCACTTCTGACTAAGCACAGTGTCAATTTCTTCCTCTTCCAACAATGCCATTTCCTCTCCTTCTGGCTCAGTTACCATTTGTGTGATCAGGTAACATAAGATAAAAAGTTTATCACAGGCATTCTTCAAGCCCAAAGTGATTTATATGTGCATTTTTGAAAGAGTAGATCAACCTAATAGCTGTGGGCAGAAACTCATGGGAGTTTTAACCACCGAAATCTGACAGGGAGACAATGGACCAGAATTTAATGTGGAAGTTTTAAAGAAGGATTCTAGAAGATGCAAACAGCTTTGTCAGGAGTTCATAGAAGCACAGCGGAGATTTAAGTAGGAACAGTTCTGACAGACCAAAACCAGGCATCTGTTTTTACCATGAAACAGAAGGCCTCTGTCTGATGGAAAAATATAAGTTAAGTTGAGAGAAGTTAAGAAACCTTCACTCCTGGTGAACTGCACTATAGATTTGTAGTTTAATGATCAAATACAGTTCATCATATATCCACTAATATATAATAAATGATTATATTTCATGAGAGATCAGTATACACCGAAACGTTCCATATAACTAGATAAGGTAGGCAAGGCCCCAGTGGGTTACAATCTAAAGGATGTCATCTCTGATCTCTGTTTTTAAGTCCCACTGGGTGAAACATAGTATCTATATTTCAAAGACTAGACAGCACCACTGGCTTCACGTATCCTTAGGCTGATGGCTTGCCATATACTGCTAGTGCCTAATGTACTGGAAGAAACTCAGACATCAATTATTCCAAGAGGAAAAGTCTACACTAGTCAGCACAAAAGTCAAAGGTGTATCTCCCTGTTCCAGACAAATTTACTATCAGTGAAGACCCTGTTGCTGACAGTCTAGAATCAAGCATGGAAGGATCTGACATTCCTGTTATATGAATTCAGTCATCCAGCAATTACTAAGTAGAAGTTGAATCAGTTATTTCATTTGTAAAGGAAATGTGTAAAACCAAGCTCAATAATACTGAAGCCAAGAATTTTATCTTATACATTTCTAATGATAATATAATTAATTCTATAAAATTACCTGATTGAGATAGAACTATTTTTTACAGTATTAATTATTGGGAGAACTAATTAGAAAATGATTTATATACCTCCTGAAATCTGAATTAGTAAGTGTATCTCAATCACACATAGATGGTGAACTCAAAGTAATTTTTGCCTGCTATTATTTCAAGAATGCAGAATAAATGAAAAATCCTCAACCCCTGACTCTATAGTAAAATTATTGCATTTTGTCAGTTCCCATATTTATAAAAGTAACTACTTTTATATCTATGCCAAAATAATATTCCACAAATAATAAAAAGAATTCAATAACTTTATAAAAGACACTAAAATTACCAAACATGTAATAGCAATATTTAATATAATGTATGTAATTTGGATCCAAAAGGATAATGTTTATACCAATGTCTTAATATAAGTTACATGACATTTATATGGCATAATAAATGATTAAAACCCAAGTTTCATATTACATAGAATTTACAAATATAAGAGATTGGCCAATTCCCATCACTGTGACAAAATACCTACAGAATTCAACCTAAAGAACAAAGATTTATTTTGGATCACAGGTTCAGAAGTTTCTATGCTCAATTACTTGGTTCTCTTGTTTCTGGCCCACAGCAAAACAGAACCACATGATAAGGAAAACAGTAGAGAAAACTGCTGTCAACATGGTGGCCCAAAAGTAGTGGAGGAAAAAAAAAAGAAGGGAGAAAAGATTTGGTGCATAACTTGATCATGGAATTGTAACTGAAAATAAATGAGAAATAATTGTACTTTAATTTGTATGTGGTTGAGAGCACTACAGTTCAACAACCAACTTTGGTCACTTCTATGTTTTGTGAGATGCGTTGCTGAATTCTACTCACAGGCAAGTGGGAAGAGATTGATTTTCCATAACCTGCTCTGTCTCCTACAATCTGTTTGTTATTAGATGAATTCAAGTTTCAGAAGAGCAACGTCTCTAACTAACAATGAACCATCTGACCAATTATGAGTTAAAAATTTACTTCTATAATAAGAGTTCACTAAGATCTGAGAGTTGATGAATATGACAGCTGACTGGTCCTGTGTGGCAAGGTGTCTTTTAGTCTATTCTTTCTTTTTTCAGTATCCCATGAAAAACAAACACTGGTTTATTTTCTATGTGTCAGAATTAGAACAAAAGACACACTAAATTAGTTAAGTCTAGACAACAATAGAGAAAATGATTTCCCCCTATACACAGGTTATATATTACTGTTAGTATTTTCTTGAACTGAAAGAGGAAAAATGTGTTCATTTCAATTAATAGAAAATTGCTGTTCAGAATGCATTCTATAAAGTTAATTCTGGTGACTGAAATAGACATACTAACCTTAGCCTCCTAAAAACATGACACATGGGAATAATTTTCCCAGAGAAACTATCACTACTGGGGACTTACATACAGAGGACTATTTACATACTCTATTTTCTTATCGCCAACTGTTTATTAATTATTATATACTAATAAGCATAAACATAAATAGTAGGGATTTTAAATGGGCACTCATTAACTTCCTTTAGACTGAGCATGAAATGTCATTTTAGAATATACATATTATACATGATCAAATGTTTCTTTGTGCAATTTTATGTTAATTATTAAACTTAGAATTAACAATGTTGAATAATTATTAACATATTCAATTCATTGTTGGTATCATTTATACTTTTATAGCAAGGGCTATATTACAGAGAGGAAAACCTCATTACATTCAAATGTCATTTATGTGCTTTAGGCTTCAAGCATTTAAAATATCAGAGAAATAATTAACATATTCAAAAGCAATTTTAAAACTTCACTAATAAGAATAATGAGAAAAACAAAATTTTCATTATTTTTCTTAACAAAAGTCATGCTATATTTCAGACATTTTAAAAAAGTACATATAAAAATTAAGTGCAGAGACTATTTTTTCTATATAAGACGTACAACACTAATTCTGATGATACTATAAGATTAGGAACTTTTACTGCTTTATTGATATACAGTGTAGTCTCAAAAAGAAAATATTGTCTTGGTATGTTGTTTTGAAAAATAAGAAACAATTTTTGATAAATAGTATGATAAAGTATTACAAATGTGAACCTTTACCTGGGAATTTGCAGCAACATGGCTATAAGATGTCTCTAGCTCTTCCATTAGCTTCTAGAAAATTACAGATGGGAAACTATTGTTTAGAAATATATATTCTTTTTTGAGTTGAGTCAGTGTTTCTTTGTGTAACAACCCTAGCTGTTCATACATACAAAATCACTATTGGGCCTTAGAAAAAAAATAGTTCTGGACTTTATTCAGAAGTAAAAGATCAACATTCAGGAACGATCATGAGTAATGAGGAAAATCTATAGGAAAAAATTTCTAGACAGTATAAACTAGAAAAACAATTTCAACTATCAAATATCAATGACTTACCCCTTGATCCAGGAGGTTGCATTTGTATTGAAGATGATGAAGTAGAGTATAGGTTGATGTGTTGTGAATGCAGCCCAGAAAGACACTGAAACACAGATTAGATGACTATCAGTGTCACTTCTGCTTCTTACATTTGTGTTGCTTTAAAAATCAGAAAATTTGCCCAAGTTGCTTTTGGTCACAGAAAATTGATGTTAACTGTTGTCATTTGATTTATTACTGGGAATCTACAGATGGAAATACTTGTGTTTGTGGATTTGTTGAGTTAATAAAATTTTAGAGACAAGCACATGAATGCAACTTAATGGTGTAGATATACACTCAAATCTACCTCAAGGATCTCAGTGTCTCACAGTTAGCTATATTTTAGTAGGAACTGAACAGCCATATGTGTGTTTAATTCTCTGTATCCTCAGTTATAAGAAAGTGTAGTAAAATAATATTTTTATGAATTTTATTTAAATTAAAAACAATCTTATTTTACATACCAATTACAGGTACCTCCCTCTCCCTTCCTCCCATGTCCCCCACGGAACCCCCATCACACCCACACCCACTCCCCTGGGAGAGTGAAGCCTCCTGTGGGGTTCGTCAAAGTCTGTCACATCATTTGGGTTAACTTAAGAATTTTAGAGATTATAATATAACTATATCATATCCTTACCCTTAATTCACCCATATATCCCTTCATTTTCTTTTTCAAATACATGCCTCCTTTTTATTAATTGTTATTGTGGGCATGCATATATGTGTATTTGTATACATACATATTCCTAACTACAACATTCTCAGACTGCACAATGCTACTTGTATGTATTTCACTCTCAGTATTCTTGAACAACAGCTATAGAATTGCTGAAGCAGATGTGGTAAAGACCATTCGTTTTCAACCTTACACAAAGTAATTCTCTCTTATGCTGAAATCAGATCAATCCCTTTTCCCCTGGTCCTGTGTTCTGGGTGCTTTTACTGGAGAGTGGTCAGCTGCCATCCTCTTGAGTGGTAAATTCATAGACTTGCCTGCCTATCCATATTTCTCACTGATGAAGCAGAATTCAAATGTCCCAATCATTTTCTTTCAACTATTAGGTATATACTAACCCAAGAGTTCCTCTTGTGAGTCAGATAAGCCAGGCTTTCTCATGTCTAAGGCTACAAAAATTGTGCTATGTGGTGAACTACCCCTTGCATTGCAGGGTCTTTTTCAGCATTTTTCTACCCAGTAGACATCTCTAGCAATCCTCCAGCCCCATCACAACAACAACAAAAAGTCTCTCCCTTCATTGACTCTCTGAGAGGGGGAACAAAATTATCTTAATGGAAAAGCAATGTGTTACAATTCAATAGGGAACAAATGTCTCCACCATGGGTTGCCTGCAAGATTCTGAACTCAGTAATCATGTCAATGTACTAAACCCTACATCATGTTCACATTTAAAACAATGCTGTTTAAATCTAAACCTTACTAGCCAGCTAGCTTCCTAAGTAGACAGTTGCAGTTAACACATATGCTTTCAACTTTTGGAGGAGCTGTTAAAGAAGCAGAAAGATTCATAACTGATGTGGATATAGATTTTAGCACATGACTCCAATGGATGAAAATATGAAGCTATGAGCAGAGATGGGTTGGGGGCAAGGGGCTTACTGACTAGTCTGCACAACTTAATTTAGAAATTAATTTAAACTTACTGTTTGTGATGGTTTGAATGAAATTGACCCCTGTAGACTAAGGAAGTGGCATTATTGGAGGTGTGGCCTTGTTACAGTAGGTGGACCTTGTTATGGGAAAGTAATAAACTTAGTGGTACTATAAGATTTCCTCTCAACCTTCAGTATAAACCAGAAACTCCCATAGAAATCTTGTATGTATGGGGTGTGAGTGAGTATATGTTCCTGTGACTACATGGGTAAACATGAGGGAAAGAATAGTGTCTGTTTGCAAGCTTCTGAAGACAATTACCTTACACAGCAAATAAATGTCAGTCTTCAAAATGGTCACCAGAATAGTCATGAATATAATGCTTCAAAGGGAAGATCATAAATACTCTTCTTGCAAGTCTCAACAGTAACAGATAGACTGGCATGAATGTAGGCTCTGTGTAGACTTCATTTGATTAAAAATTATATTACATTTAGTTACTCAGTTTGAGTTTGTATGTATGCTGTATGTGTCTTCATGCAGGGACACATGCAGGGCATGTGTTCTGAAGTCATAGAATAACATGAGGAGTATCGGCTCTTTCCTTCTGCCTGTGGGTATCTCCAAGTGAGATGAGGGGTGTCAGCTCTTTCCTTCCACCTGTGGATACCACATTTTGAACTCAGATTATCTGGCTGGTGGGAAAATGCCTTAACTTTCTCCATCATCTTGTGGACATTAAATAATGAAAAAAAATCCTCTCGTGAGTAAGCATCCAGAAATACAGATAATATTTAATGTATCATTACATACTTATTAAGACATTTTTACATATAACTTATCCATGTAGATAGCATAGAGCTGTGTGTGTATGTTTCATGGTATTTTACAGCTTTTACTGATGCTATCATTGCTACAGTATCAAAAGGTAACCCCGTTGCAGAGAGGGAGTTGTGATGAGCAAGGGGGTCAAGACCAGGCTGGTAAAACCCACAGAAACAGCTGACCTGAACGAGGGGGAGCTCTTGGATCCCATACTGATGGCATACGAATGAACTTTGGGAGCCTATTCCACATGGAGGAATGCTCTTTCATCCTGGACACACTGGGGAGGGTCTAGGCCATGCCCTGGATGATTTGACAGACTTTGGAGATCCCCCATGGAGGGCCTCACAGTCCCTAGGAGCAGAGTGGGGATTGGGTGGGGTATTGGAGGGGCTGGTGGATGGCAGGGGAGGAGGGGAGGGAGAGGGAGCTGGGATTGACAAGTGAAGCAAGCTTTTTTTCTAATTTAAATAATAAAAAACAAAAAAGAATAAAAATAAAAAGGATAAAACTACAATAATAACTTAAAAAAAGATATATATTTTCTTCTCTCTCCGCTTTCCTTGTACACATTTTGTCAGAACATTTAGATCAGTAATTTTCAACATGTGGGCCACAAGCCCTCTTGTTGAAGGACCCTTTTACCATCAGGGCCTAAGATCATCAGGAAACACAGTATTTAAATTATGACCCATAATAGTAACACAATTACAATTATGAAGAAGCAATGAAATTGATTTTATGGTTGGGGTCACCACAACATGAGGAACTGTATTGAAGTGCCCCAACATTAGGAAGGTTGAGAACCACTGCTTTAGTTCACCAGAATCATTAACTGCCATAAAATGTATCTCCCCTCTGTAATAAAAAGTAATCAAAGATGAGAGATAATTTTCTTAGTGAGGATTACATCTTCCTGATTTTGTGTCACTAAAAGCTAGCACACTGATCAGTACACAGTTAGAATTTAGTGTACATAAAATAAAAGCATAAGATGGAAAAAGATAGCTGTCATTTCACTTTTGAAGATGCAAAATACATTCATATAAACTGTGTTTTTATGACATTATTCTACTAATTTAAATGCTGTAGAGATTGTTATGAAAAAACTGAAGAAATGGTCCAGTCATTAAAGGCCAAAAGATGAGTGATCATTTTATAAAATAAAGGAGAAATAAGTGAATAAAACTATAATACCTATTAATTATATGGTGCTGTATATAATATACTTATATGACGTTTATACATTTGTGTTTAAGCTGAGGTTATTATAGTTACAAAGCATTCCCCTGGGTTCCATTTTCAGTAGAAGATAATTAGGCCTCTTGCATGCAATAGTGGCTGAATATGAGAAAACATGAATATGCTTGCTAATGCTCATCGCAGTATCTATGCCAAGTTTGTTAGTGTATGCTATGAGAAAAAAAGAAGAAAACTGCATTTTGCTTATTAGTAACACCTCATAAAATGTTGTTCTGTTGCTCAGGCAAAGTGGCTTTCAAATATTTGTAGCGCCAGATCATGCCTTTCCTGTAGTTACCAGTTGTTGGCCCTGAGGTACATTTTCATGTTGTGAGTCTCATGCTTTATCTTTTATCTCTAGCCAGAACTTTCCTTCTTTAATCACTGTGGTTTTATGTGTGGGGTAGAGTGTTGTTGTTGGATTGCTGCATTTTTTAAATGTTCTTTTTAATTGGGGGTGGTATGGGTCACGGTTGGGATTAGTCCTCTCTGAACCTCTTCCAAACCGTCTGGGCTTAGATGCCTCAGACTTAAGTCAGGATCCAGGTGTGGGCTTCTTAGAATCTCAGAGCCCCTGTAAGTCTGTAATGAGATGAGATATGTCTTCATTTGTCACTTAGGAGAAGTTGTAGAATACATCTAACCATACTATGGTAGGTTGAAGCATGTCACCTTGACTCTCGTTGTTACTTTAAGTCAAACTTCAGCTGTCAGTAAGCAACTGTGTCTGTTAGTGTTAAATTGCTTTCTCATAAATGTCATTTTGTTATGTAGCCTAGTTAGTTATGGCTTGCAATAAATTATCCTACATTTAGTTTCTTAAAATAGTCGTTTTGCCTGTGACTCAAAGATGGGGAATTGAATGAGAACTTGGTTTAGTGCCTGATCCTGAATCCATGTGACCCAACTAAGGGAGACCTCAGCAATCCATTTAGAAGACAATCTCTTCAGTCAAACATAGAAGCCAATATAGCTCCCCCTTTTCCTTGTTTATTATGCCATACTGCTACTTTAATGGCTTATGTTTATTACAACTGTTTCTTCAGGGAGGGTTTGGATGCTTGTAGTCAGTAGTAATTGTGTAAAAAATACAGAGAAAAATTAGTAATTGATGCCCATTCTCAAGACTGACACGTTGCAGCCAGATAGGCAAGGATTCTAATATTCCTACATGGGCTGAAAGATGGTTTCTTGTAAATACACTTAGCTTGATTTATTTTTGCTTCCCAACAACTAGCAGTTAACAGAAAGAGGATAAATGATGGTTGAGATATGCATCGTCTCCCTTTAGTTAAAACCCTGAGAGAAAAACATACATTGCTTCATTTGTTTTGCCTTTAATTTTTTATATTGATTATTCTTTCTGTTTACCATGTAGT